AACGCTGCGCTATAGAGGCGGGCTACGCTCCCTGATCGAGTAAACGCAGTCCGCCAGCCTTCCTGCTAGTGTGCAGCTACAAGCAACATGAGGCAGGTGCTCCAGGCCCGCGGCCTTACTTCTCTCGAACTACGACCGGTAGGCGAGCAGAATCAAAAGAAATATCCTCGAGAGGGGGGGGGCAGGCACTCGAGTGCGTACCCCCKTCCACCCCGTCCCTCTGCAGCCCGACCGGCCTTCGYTGCTATAACGGGCAAGGTCGAATGAATCTCCCGCTAGAACGMGGGAAGATACATTGCCAATTCGAAGCGCCCCGAACTCCCCGACTCCACCCCTTTCTCCGACTTGTTTCCCTCTGCTGTCCCCGAACGCAGCCCCTGTCTGTAACTCAAAACCGAGTCTCTCGTAGGGGTACGACCAGGCACACCGGTCCGCCATCTACTACGAGGGCGTGTATAGGGAGGCGCCCCACCATCGTGAAATTATCTATGCGCATTGCCATAAGGTAAGTACGTCCTACCCTCCCCCTTTCTCTACACACTCGTCTACTACAGAGGGTCGTGCCTCGCTCGAGTTCGTACCAGAAAGAGCAAGACAAAAAAACGAATGGATCTTCCGCTAAAGTGCGGGAAGATTCATCACCATTTGTAGAAATCTTCCCTGGCGCAGCCCAAAGTTATTACAGCCCCGAAACCGTAACTCTAATGCTTAATCTGACTTCACAGACCGATTCACGAGGTCAAAAACTCTCGGAATCGAATATTTACTCGCCCAATTTCGTGAAGGAATGGGCGGGTTATTTATTTTTCCATTGTGCCATGCTCACTCGTTCGTCCCCTCCGCGCACTATTTTTTTTTTTTTTCTAACTCCTATTCCACTACTCAATAGCCACAACTAACAATCCCGCTGGATTCGCCCCATTGAGAAACCCCAAAAATCGAACTTTACTTCGACAAGATCGGTCAAGAAACGACCGAACTATCGCACCTTCTTCCTCCATTACCTTCTGTTTGCCATAGCTCCGCGCAGTCAAATTCTTCTTTATCTCGTCCTACACTAATCCTTCTTCAAAACTAACTTCATTTTCAGATTCATCTGGGGTTAAAACCCCGGGATAGCGTCTTGCCCCTCCTGTTTCTACTATGGATCGAAAGATCCGCGTCTCCCTGACTGCACGTTGTCCATTCCTCTCACCTCCTATCGTTTGCACCCATGCGAATGAATCGGGACGCAGATAGCGTCCGAGTGCATTCTTCCTCTGCAGCTTGTCTGCTCCCACTCACTGCCTAGCGCCTCGCTTGCCACCTCGCTTGCTAGCCGTCCGCAGTCTCTTTCCTGCTTCCTTACTGCTGACCATGCACTGCCTTGCCATCCGCCATTACTATCTGCGAATGCACCCGGCGCTTACCACCGTCCGGATTCGTCTCCTCTTTCTCCCGACTAACACCGCCTAGCGCCACTCCCCCACCGCGGCCGACTGCTCAGTGCCCGGCCCACAGCCTCCTGCGGCTAACGCAGCTCCCCACAGCCTTAACGCTCCGAAGTGGACACCACAACGCTGTCGAACGATATAGGCAGTAGAAGGCGGTTGTAGGAAACGAGGTCCAATCTGCAGAATCTTAGGAAGGAACCAACCACTAGACGGTTCGATTGGTCTTTTGCCCCTATATTCAAGCCTGACGAGATGATTTGCATATCAGCATCGCTGCGAGCTTCCCCCTTGCTGGCTCGTCACAGTCCCTGCTTACTCTCTATCTCACCTAGCCATGCTATATTCTGCATACACCCGGCTGTGCGCCACGCCCGGGTTCACTTTCTTAGCTTTGCTCGTTCCCCCCCCCCTTGCCCCGTAGCGGCCTGTTACGGTCAGCACAGGGTTCGATAGCACGGCGGTCCGGCCTTGGCTCGCCCTCCCGTTCCTGCCAGCCCACCGACCTTGCCCTTTTGTTACTGCGTGGTCCGACAGCGTCCAAATGCCGAAGGAAGCAATCGGCTGTCGGTCCCAGCCAACTTATGCCTATCGTTCTTGCGCAGGGGCCATGCTAATCTTCTCTGTATCGTTCCAATTTTACTGGATGTCCCGAAGGACCTCCACTGTGGCATTGCCCTACGGCCCTTCCGAACTCAAACACCCTCAGGCCAATTCAAAATAACTGGTCCTATTCATCGAGTTCCATCATCTGGGCTCAAATACAGGTCTGTAGTTCAACAGTTCAATGGTATACCCGTTGAGATGGGCCTTTGAGTGCCGGCCGCTCCCACGGCGCCGCGTCCTAAGACAAGACGAGGTGCGACTTCGACGCAGCAACAAAAACAATTTGAAATTGCACTTCATGCAACCCCCCCCCCCAGCGAATGCAACACTCCCTATGTGACTTTATCGCAGCCTCGTGTCCCTGAATGGGACGCGATACCATAAGGACCCGAAAATAGTAAAACGAGAAAAAAAACGATATACAAATAACTTAATAGTGGTGAGGATCAGCGGGGCTGCTGATACCTTACCAGTCCCGAGGGGCAGGCCCGCCGCCGCTCTCGCCAGCAAAAATCCGAGGGGGAAAGCCTCGTCGGACCCTCAACCCCTTGGTCTCCTCCGCGCCGCTTTGCTGCTTTCGGGCCGATCCCCGAACCTTCGTAGTAATAGTCCGATGCCGTAACCTTAAGGGCTAAGCCCAAGCCTGGGGCTAAGTCCCGCAGAATACCATATAGGCAGTGCGGCGCGACGCTTTTGGGCCAACCAAACGGCTGCGCGGCTCCCATTTGCCCGCGCCGGTTTGCTTATACCATGCCATAACTACCCCGCGCGCCATCCTACGGCACCCCGCTTACCGCACGAAATCGCGCCGTTATTGCCGATGCCGTTATCGGGGTCGTTTCTCCGCACACGCGCTTGACCTACTAATCAAAAAGAAAATATCCTTAATCCCTGCTTAATAAAAAATAATAATATCACCAAACGAAACGACCGAGGTCCGAGCCGACTCTTATGACCAACAACAGAAAGGAATCATGGGCGCCTTAAACCTGCGCGCTCACGCACTCGCTATTGTGGTCAACCACCCTATCAACGCAATTACAGACGCAGCCGCGCTTAGCGCGGTATACTTAAATTCTAAACCAAAACCGTTTTTTTTTTTTTTTTTTACTTGCAAAAACCAGGGCGGATACCCTTGTAAGGGTATTCGCAGCGACAGCCTTACCGGACCATATTAAGCGACGTCCCCGTCGCTTCGCCAAATCTGAAAGCTATAAATCCATTCACACTGCAAATGCTGACCAAAGAAGTGAGCCAATCCGATTAGCCGACAAACACAGGGTAGAGGCCTCCATCAAATCATGCCTCCACAACTATATGCGGCCAGGTTTCGAACCCAGGTCTCTCACTACCCAGAAATTAGGACGCTGACAACATAAGTTCCAAAGACCTTCCCAATCGTCCTCTCCCCGGTCCTAGACAACCTTCGGCTTCTAGTTGGGTGTCCCTAGTCCTGGCAAAAACTAGGGACGCGGGCCTTAACCGAGACCTTTGAAGGCACTATTGCCTTCCTTCTCAAAATCTCTCGCAATCAAATTCATATAAGTATATGTGTAAACTTAATATCCACTCCGCTCTTTTTGCAGTCTAGTACAGAAAGGCCAGGTCTCCATCTTGGCCCACCATAGCCTGGTTGATCGGACCAGGACTACGGTCCACCGCATTGTTATTTAACGGCAGTACCCTCGTTGGTTACGCAACGATATGGTTTCTCCTGATAAGCACTCAATCAGGACCTCCCAAAATCTCAACCTTCACTATCCCACAGAGTAATTTCCCTGGGGCGGGTAACTCCCCTTAAACTCTTACCCCGCGGTCAGGTGGTTAGACGGGGCGTCGCAAAACAAAATCACAGGTCCACTGCGCGATACGCAGGGGTCCGAAAGCATTTACCAGCCCTCCTTCAATAGGCATGGCATCCTTCGCATGCTTACAAGCAAAATCACCGCTAAATCCACCAGGTCGTGACCCCTGACTTGATCAGAGCCAACAGCCACCCACCCTGAGACATCTCTCGCTTTGTACTCATTGCGACTTTCTCAAACATTTCAAACAAAAAGTGGCCCTTTCCGTCAGACTTTATCACCCATCAAACAATTCGTCATGCCATAAATCAATTTACTCACTTCTGAGGATGAGTCTTCCAACCAAAAACCACTCTCATTTTCCAACAATCCAAAAGGGGCTCTCTTCATAAACAAAACACCCCCTCTTCCAAAAATCGCGAGTGGTATCGCCATAAAACAATACATTCCCTCTTCCAGAAATCACGAGGGTCTCATCATAAACCAAACACCCTCTCTCTCAAAGTCACGAGGGGTTTCGTTACATCACAAAACATCATAAAACATCCCCCCCTTTTCCAAAACCTAAGGGGGTCCCATCATAAAACAGAACATCACTGAGAGACCATCTTATGGGTCCTCATCACAACTTAGATAACTTTCACAGACGGACTGCGCTTCCTCCCCTTATACTCTGCCTTATCAGCTGCCGTGGGCAGGTCGGACAAGTATACCGAGGAGTAGACAGTTTTACTTACAATCATATTCACAATACCCAAGATACATAAAAGGTTTTTCACACATTGTCCACACAAACTCATCATACATCAGAGTATAACCACACATGTGAGAGAGACAAGTGATCGTCACATATAAGAATGGTCCCTGAAGGAAACCTCATCATAATATACACTCAGGGAGTATAATGTCTCACACAGAAAGTGTTTCTAAATCATAGCTTGCTCAACTCAAGCCACACCAAACCCACACTGACAACTACCCCTAGAATACATGTCAGATCTGTCTCTCAAAGGCCAGGGCGTAGGCCACCTAAATATATACATGCCTCGTCTAAACCACCCTGACCCTCAAAACCCCAACTCAGTAGAAACACTAGAGTTCAGATCTAGATTAATAACAATCATCAAAATGTCTTCTAAGTCTAAGAGGGTATCACACAGAACCTAAGTTGATGCCTCACAAAATGCTCGCTCACTTATATAGACAAAACCGGCCCTACCTCCTCAACTCCTCCTGGTTTCGCCTATATAACTGAGCCTTAAGTCCATCTGCGGACTTCTCTACTATCCTACCCTGTCTATCATACATTTTACCCCCTACCTCTGAGATCTTCCCTGCTGCCTTATCCTCAAGAAACTCGAGACAGTCCAAAGCCAGATGCACGTCCCTCTTGCAGTAAAAACATAGATGATCTACCTTTCTCTTGAACTTCTTCTTCCTGGGCTGAGGAGGTGGCGATGAAGGAGATCCCACCAAAATACCGACACCCCCCTGCTGTTCTGATCGAGGAGCTGCGGTACTAACGACTTCCTGATGCTCTGTCCCCGGAACCGGTCCACCAGACCCAGATCCAGTAGCCCAAGATCCTAGTCTGCCTCTCAAATCCTCTGTCGCTGGGACGTACTCGGGCGTGTCCAACCTCTGAGGCCTCCTCTCGAGTGTCGCCTCTGGCACTGCCGTGGGCTGCTCCTCAATCTCCTCTGGTCCAYACKCAGGTGTGCCTATCCTCTGGAGTCTGCCCTYGATGRCACCCTCCTCCTCAATCCTCATCTCTCTCTCAAGAGGCTCCTCTATCCTCTGCTCAGGTGAAAACAAACTCACCTCCTCCTGCATAGTATGCACCGCCTCAAGGAGCATGCCCATGGAYTCCTYTACTGARCCCTGAGCCGGCTCACYGCTMGATGGTGGCAGCCCCTCCTCTACTGCCAAAGGWACGACTGGGCCCGCCGCTGCTACTGGCAGTGTCGCGAGCTCGGTAGRGGCTCTGAACTCGAACGCCTCTCTCTCCTCCTGTCTCTGTGCTCTCGCCTCCTCTGACTCCAGGATAACCCTCCCCATAGGTGGCTCCTGGCGAGGCTCTGTCGCAGATGGCTGTCCTGGCAATCCCTGTCCTGGCTGCCTCTGCTCTCCCTGCCGGCTGCTCTCTGGTCTGTCCACCTTTCCCTGGGTTTGCTGCCTCAGGCTCTCAATGATAGCTGTCTGGCTGGCCACCAAAGTCCTAAGTTCCTGAATTTTCATCTCCATAGCCTCCAGACGTACTCCATGGCTGACTTCCTTCATTTTCTTCCCCGCCAGATCGCCCTCCAATAACAAGTGCCGGTCAAAAGTGGTCTTGGCCAGGAACTTGATCTTACGATCTAACCTTTCTTCCGCCTTTCTGGCCACCCCAAACCCGGCTCTGACTGGCGATGGAAGCTTCTCTCCTCTCTGCTCCCAGAAGTCTCTCCACATCTCAGGAATCTCCGGGGCCTTGGCTGGCGCGTTGGGTGGCTGACCCGGGAGTCCTCCTGCTGCCTCCGATCTCTGCCTCTCCTGCTGCTGCTCTGAGAGCTCCCCCGCTGTCTCCAACCTCTGCCTCTCATGCCATATCCCATCTATCCGCCTGCTTCGTCTCGCCCTCTTTTCTTCAGCCGTCTCTCCAGCTGACACTCTTTCCCTCGTGCGAAGGTCGACCCTCTTTGGGATCTCTGCTTCCATCTCCTTCTCGGGCTGGCATGACTCCTGGCGTGGCTCTGCAGGCGCTGGCTCCTCCAGGTCTGGGTGCTCCAGGGCAT